ACTGAGGCTGGGGGGACCCCAGGGAAGCCCCTTTCTGGCACAGCCAGGAACACCCCCCGTTCCCCCAATCCCTGTGAGGACCTGCAGAGCCTGGTGCGGGTGGGGATGGTCCGATGGCCCCCGATGGCAGTGCACCCCCTCCTCAACAAAATCACTGATGCTGGAGTCTCTGTCTGTAACTCACTCAGCACCAGGATATTGTTGGGCAAGAGAAGCAGTGGCGGGGCAGGAACGTCAGCATCCTGGGAACCCCCACAGCCAGACCCCCCGCCCCCCAGGCCAGCCTACCTGTGGATGTAGTTGTTCCTGTGCAGATGCAGGACACCACAGGCCACCTCACACGCCATCCTCTGCAGGGTCAGCGGGTCAGGGGCCATGGCCTCGGCCCCCCGGCAGCTCCGCAGGTACCCCTTCAGGTCACCCTGCCGGGCAGTGCCACTGTCACCATCCCTGGCGCTCAGCTCGCAGGGGGCTCAGCTCTGGCACCATGCACCCTGCCCTGCCTGCAGCCCCCTCCCCTCGTGTCTCAGCCCCACGGCAACACCTCAGACTCACCAGCGGGCAGAACTCCATCACCAGCAGGTAGGGGGTGACCTCGGCGCACTGGGCCAGGCACTGCAGCAGATTGGTGTGCTGGAGGGCCCTGGGTGGGGCAGAGCAAGGGGGGCACGTTGGCACCACGCCAGCTGCAGCGGGGGGACGGCAGCAGCCCCCCCAGGAATCATCTCCTGGTTTCCTCTGGTGCTGTGCTGGGGGCTGGCGCCGGGGCTGCCGGGAGCGGGTACCAGCACGTCCCAAGCAGAGCCCTTCTGCTCTGCTTAGAGGAACCTCTCCTGATATTGCTGTTTCACACTGAATAGCATTTGTGTGACAAGCTGTAGCTTCAAATTGTAACTCAGCTGACCCCTGCATCCCTGGACTTCTCCCTGACAAAATAATAGAATCGTTTTGGTTGGAAAAGATCTTTAGGATCATCAGGTCCAACCGTTAACCTCTGAGGCCCAGGGAGATGGATGGCGGGGCCAGAAAATCTTGGCTGGGCACCTCCACAGAGCTGCCAAATGTGGCACAGAGGGGACCAGGCACCAGCCACCAGCAGCCTCACTCCCAGCTGTGCCCGGTACCGCAGCAGCACCGCGGAGCGATGCTGGACGTACCTGTAGGGCTGCGCTTCCTCCAGGAACTGCATCTGGTCCTGCACACTGGCACTTGCCTTCAGCTCCTTCACCACCACCTGGGTGCTGCTGATGCCCGAGTTCACCTCCCCAAGGAACACCTGTGGTGAGGGACAGGTTCATCCCCTCCGTCTGAACTCCAAAACCCAAACTATGTCCAAACCCCAGACCCTGTCCTCTCCCCAGACCCCATCTTGCCCACCCCGGGTCCTGCAGCCACCATCCCCCGGGGTGTCCCCAGGAACCTGCTGGTGCCACTCACCTTGCCGAACCAGCCATGCCCGATCTCCTTCAGGTAGAGCAGGCTCTGCCGCCCCAGGTCTGCCGACTTGAGGAGCTGCACTGTAACAGAGCACATCC